ACCACGGATGGCGGGAGAGGAGGGAGCCTGCGGCGTCTGCGGCACAGCTGCAAAGCTCAGGTGCGGCGGATGCAGCAACGTGCACTACTGCTGCCGAGACCACCAGCGCAAGCACTGGGCGCAGCATCGGGAGGAGTGCAGGCCTATAAAGCAGATCGAGAGCGCCCAGGATGGAAGGTAATGAGCACGTGACGCTCTCTGGCCGTGCATAGCGTGTCTTTCCTGCAAGGATACATGTCCCTGTTCTTCTATTTCTCTCTATTTCTATGCTATTCTCTTCTTCCACTGTTCATTCTCCTTCTGCTTCTCTTTTTCTCATTTTCGTCTTGTTTTCCCTCCCCCCCTCTCTCTCTCTTCATCCTTCCTTTTTTAGGTTTCTCTTTTCTGTCCTGTTTTTCTTTTAGTAGTCACTTTTTCTCTTTCTTATCCATTTGAAAATATTCCTTCAATTTCCTGTTTCTATTTGCCTGACTGCCCCCAACTCCCCTCTTCTCCTAGGGAACGTAGACCATTCGACGAGGTCTGACCATGATTTCTACTTCACAGGTACCTGGTTGCCTCCCGCGACCTGGCCGCCGGGCAGCTGGTCCTGAATGAGAGTCCTGTGGTCTGCGGTCCCACCGGCACGTGCTTCCCCCTCTGCCTGGGCTGCCACTCGGCCATCACAGACCTGGAGGCCTTCCGTTGCCCCGGATGTTTCTGGCCCATGTGCTCCCCTGAGTGCCACCAGAAGGACCTCCACGCCAAGGAGTGTGGCATTCTGGCGCAGGACGTCAAGCGGGTCGGTCCCCCGACCAGCTTAGGCGTCACACCGCGATATGACATGATACTGGTCCTTCGCTGCCTTCTCCTGCGCGAAGCAAACCCGACCATCTGGGACCGTCTCATGACCATGGAAAGCCACGTAGATGCTCGCCGGGAGCAGCAGGAGCCCTACCACATGGCAGGAGTTCGCTTCCTGACGGAGGTGCTGAACTGTGGCTTTGATGCGGACACAGTGCACAGAGTTCGAGGCATCATGATAACCAACTGCATCAACATTCGGGGTCCAAAAGGGGAGCACCTGCGCGGTATATACCCTAACATTGCTCTTCTAAATCACTCGTGCTTACCCAACTTAACAATAAGATCCGACGTTAATAATGCACTTTACATCCGCACGGCCGTAGCCATCAAGAAAGGAGATCCGCTCGTGTTCAGCTACACGCCCCCGGAGGAGCCTCTTTGGGAGAGGCAGTTTGACTTCCAAAACGTTTACTTCTTTTCCTGCAAGTGCCGCCGATGTGGAGATCCCACAGAGCTTGGCACTCACTACTCCTCGCCACGCTGCCCAAAGTGCCCAGAGAAGTTCCTGGAACCGCGGGACGGAGTCGATGCTCCTTGGAAGTGCCCCGAGTGCGGGGAGAAAAGGGAGAGCCAGGAAATCAAAGACGAAGCAGAGCGTCACGTCAAAGACATAGACGAGCGATGCAGTTCGGCCGGCGAGGTGGAGAGCTTCCTGACGGGGATCACACGCACATTCCACGACAGCCACTACGTGTGGGTGACGGCGGCCCAGGCGAGCTTAAGGGTGCTCAAGAACGACACCAGTTTAGCGGCACTCAAGCTGCAGCAGGAGATATGGAGGCGACTCATGGGGATCTATCAGCTCTTCGAACCTGGGCTCACGCGGAGGAGAGGTGAGCAAGTGCAGTGTGTCATGGACAACGGCACTCTTTGTTCAGAACTTATAAGGATTAACAACTGAACGTTTCATTCAATTTCATTAACAAAGGGAGATTCTTAGTGAGTCTTTATCCCAGTTCAATGTGAATGATTAGCTGGAAGGCAGGTTTATATATTTTAGCAGGACAGGTGGATTTATACAAAGAACATAGTTTAGGCTTTACACAGATGCTTTCATTCATAAAAGTCTGACCCTGAAATCCCTCTTGACGACACCACAACCTGCAAGTCCCGTGTCCCTTCAGGAGTGTCGCTGTTCCAGCTGTCCATGGTGGAAACGCGAGTGGCGCAGACCCAGCGCGCTGAAGGAGAGCTCACTCCCCCCGCATACATCGCCGCCCTCGCGCGCATCCTTCGCCAGCTCGAGTACGCCGCCCAGATCCTCGAGCTGGAGCCAAGCAACTCCAGCGAGCGCCACTGGAAGGCGCGGGCGACGGAGAAGGCGGCGGCGATTTCCGAAGCGATCGCCATTCTGCAGCAGAGCGGCGACTCGCACCTGGACGACGACGCGGACGCGGGTCGCCTTCAAGGAGAGAACTGATCCGCTACTCACTGCGGTGTATTATGTCAGGTAAATATCTATAATTCGGCGATTTCGCGTTTTGCAGAGGAAATCCTGTAAGATACGTATCCGATATAAGGGACAAAAGAAGCTATCGGTTTTTCTTTGCATCTATAACTGCACTTCTTTTTCCAAATGTAAAAAAGGAGAAAAAAAATGTTCGATACATATACTGTGTACGACATTGGTATTGAACTTGGTTGCTGATACTGTATAGGGTAGTCGTAGCTAAAAGAATTCCCGATAAGATTAGAAAACGAGAGAGAGAGAGAGAGAGAGAGAGAGAGAGAGAGAGAGAGAGAGAGAGAGAGAGAGAGAGAGAGAGAGAGAGAGAGAGAGAGAATGAGAGAGAGAGAGAGAGAGAGAGAGAGAGAGAGAGAGAGAGAGAGAGAGAGAGAGAGAGAGAGAGAGAAGAGAGAGAGAAGAGAGAGAGAGAGAGAGAGAGAGAGAGAGAGAGAGAGAGAGAGAGAGAGAGAGAGAGAGAGAGAGAGAGAGAGAGAGAGAGAGAGAGAGAGAGAGAGAGAGAGGAGAGAGAGAGAGAGAGAGAGAGGAGAGAGAGAGAGAGACGAGAGAGAGAGAGAGAGAGAGAGAGAGAGAGAGAGAGAGAGAGAGAGAGAGAGAAGCGCAGCTTGCTTAGCTTGGCGAAAGTGTCCACCCTCTGTGTTCCTTCCCAAAGTAATAAAATGCAATAAGCTGCATTATTTTTTTTATAAGTAAAAAACAAAAACAAACTAATATTGGCGTTAGTGCACGGCAATAACCATACTAACCTTAGGACTATTTTATTACATAAAGTAAGGGCATAAATTTTGAAATGAAACATCACATCCAGATAACCAGCTGTGATAACATCATTTCAGCGGAAAGTGATTCACCGGGAATTCCCGGGGCAGACCCACAATAAACATCCTGGATCTGGGCTCGCCGTGAGCATGAGAGAAAGGATGTGAAGAAATGTTGACTCGGTACACATACTCCTTCACCCACTGCTTTTTTGTCTGGCTTTCTAATCACCTTGAGTCAACAGGCTTAGGGACCTTTGTTCATAGACGGATTATCTGAACACTGTCATAAAACTTCATCTATTCGCTTACGTGTGGCTTTGCCCCTGAAGTACTTTCACAGACATGCCACACCTCGGGTTGTGGTCTTATATAGGGTGACAACCTGTTATTAATGGCAATCTGTTATTAATTATTATTTTGGGAGATAGCAATACCCCTTATTATAACCTATTGACTCTTAGTTATACAAACTTGTGGAAAGTTTAAACACGAAAACAAATAATAATGCATATAACCAAGACACACCATACATATCAGCGATCTTGATAAGAGTAAATGATCCGAAACATGTCACGTGTCTGCTACTTCTCTGCCTGGCCGTGGAAACAGATACTCCGTGCAGAGGTCAGCGGGGTGACACGTTAATTGCTCGACACAATGACCTGAGCCACTGCAACCGTTGCTTTCATTCAGTCTCTGGGTGGAGTCGTGGACCTCTGCATGGTGCTGGCTCATGCAACGTCAACACGCCTCACCGGTTCGTGTGACTATATTTGTGTAACCTGCCCATGTCATATATTTTCCTCCATTTCCACCAGAATGTTCTTACACATCCGGGACATGTGAACGACCCAACCTCTTATTGCATACTATGAACAAACCGATTATTCCTGTGCATGCTGTATGCTGTGGTACGTTTAAGTAAAAGCTATTTTCGTATGGGCGAGGCACCCCGAACCCAGGCGGCATCACACAAAAAATCTCCCCGCCAGAGCTCTTGTCGCGTGGCACTCGCAGCGCCTTCCTGCCGTCACTCCCTGGGCGGTGCTGCTTGTGTCCCGAGGAGCGCTGTTCCTCTCTGTTGCAGCGTCTGCGTTGTTTATGACTTACTAATGCTCTCATTTCTTTCGATTATGTCGATTACGATGACTTTAGACTGGTTTCAGTACAAGAAATGTTATTATTAAAAACTTTATTGCTCTCTGAAATGATTAGATATAACATTTCGTATCTAAATTGACAAGGTATGATTATCGAAAGATGTTTTTTTTATGGAGTTATGTTCCTATCGTAAATATGTATTTTCCGTCTGCATTCACTGCGCGATCAAGTTACTCCGCCTCACCTCCTCCTCCTCCTCCTCCTCGGGCTCTGACCTCCCGTCCAGCGCCGCTACTTCGTGCTTCCTTCAGATTCCCTCATAAAAGCTTACTCATCGGCCGCCTTTATCCTCTCGTATTCATTATTTCTCCTCCCATCCCCTCTCCGTGCATCCACAAGTCATGCCCGCGTCATATTTTCGGGTTCCTTCACAAACGTCTTGGCTTGTTTCCTGCACCCCAGGCACCGCGGCCTTGCCTCGCCCGCATGCCCAGTGTAGACCCTATAATTCTATTATATGAAAGTTATTCGCCAGACCTCGAGGAGTCTTCGAGTCCTAGACACAATGACTTGGGATGAATGTGACCTCTGGGCAGTGTGAGTCGGCAAAAAGCGTTAATATTTATAACAAGAGGTGCTAAATAACCTTCGTGCGTGCGCATATCTTCCTCGGGAGATGAGGTTTCCTTAACAGGTTACTCACAAGTTGTGAAAAACAACTCTGGGTGCGCTGTATGTACCAGTTCGATGCGTGTAAGTGATACCAACGATCTATAACGAAATGAAACGCGTTTAACGTAAATTATACGAGTAAACGTTTGTATATA